GCTCTATCTCATTCAACAATGGTGGCTACCAATAATCAATGGTAAATGGTTGGTGCTTTACATGAAATAGCAACCAACCTAACATTTCACAGGTCAGAGAGGTGCCCCCAGCCGCTAGAAGAAGAGATGCAAGACTGTCCTTCGTTTTCATATTTCCTGATAAAACTATAATTTGTGAATTACTGAATTTCCTGGCAGGTTGGAGAACATCATAGCAAGGAGGATTTTGCTGTGAGAGGCAAGGAGCCGAAAGACGAGGTTCAGATTTATACATGGAAGGATGCTACTCTTCACAAGTTAAATGGTTGTTTTGTTGTAAAAGAGGTTAGTTCTCTCTGTCTCAATCTCTTTTGCGCACGTGTGCATGCATGTGAGGAGGGATTTTCATCTTTTCTAATTCATGTATGATGCATGCACAAGCCATCTCCTCCTACCTCCCTTCATCTTAAAAGCGTATGTGGCATATCAACCCATTTGCTTGTACCGATGGTTCATTTCAATGCTCGTTGGCTATAATCATGTTTGTCTTCTTTTCTTGATGGGTTATCACTAAGAGAATGAACAAATGATTTCTTTTCGTCGTTTCATTTCACTGCTCCCATCGACCAAAAAAGATCATATGTGGAGGCCTCACGTCACATATATTTGTTAAATAGCCACTTTAATCTCGCATCTAAGCATCTGTTGGATGGGTAATCTCAATATTCACGCATAGCATGTTATTAATGCATGCATCCCCCTACCTAGTGGGACCTATCATGAAGTTCTGTTTTCTTCTGGTTGAGAATGCTCTATTGCTTAATGAAGGTGGGCAAGACCGACTCTCATAGAAATGTCTATGGGAAGTTAGATGACAACAAAGCATTGGCTCAGCTTGGCTTCCAGGTAAAACAAGATGGCTTTCTTTCATGAACTGTACAATAATCATATCTGAATGTCACTAACTTGTATTTCACTTGCACAGATCGGAGATTACTTGGATGTGGCAATTCTATGGAGGCTTTACTATGTCATATTTAGGTAATTAGGCTGCACATTGTTAGGTTATATTCAGTAGGCTTGAGATGTATGGTATGAGAAGCTGGACCTGAGATCTGCTTATTTTGTATTATTAGAAACTATAAAGGGATGGGTAGGACAGCAGACTAACAATCATCATGTGCGTAGAGTTTCAACATGTTGTAGAACAGGCTGGTACGTATTGCAATTTGAAGAATACGTGACAGGATTTGCGCTGTACGTTACATCGACATCATATTCCGCAATGTTTTCCAAACGCCACCTTACTGTTATTTTCCAGCACATGAAACTTCCATTCCTGCATTTCGATAGGTAATCTGAGCTTTGTTTAGAGATTCGTTAATCTACCTGGAACGAGGTTTTAATTCCTCATATATATATATATATATATATATATATATCTGTGTGCGCGCGCGCGCGCCCATCTTTTTCGGCCCACGAAAGGTTGTAGGCCTTGTAGTACTTCTGGATTTGTTTTTTTTGGGATGAACGATTGGATCAGCTCAAAGGTTGCCATCTCTGAATGACAACCCTGTCAAGGAAGTCAAGATTTCTAGCTAGAGGTTGAAATTGTTGTGGTGTTGCTAATGGGCTTACTGTTCAATACACGCCGATAATTATTAGTATGATCGTTACACTCGGCTCAAAATTTGTCCAAGAATTGGGAAGCGGACGGTTGATGTCCAGTTATAGATGAACTTTTAGGTGGTCTTTGTAATTGTATTTTAAACAGAGTATTTTTTAAAAAAAATAATTTTTTTATTTAAAATTATTGTTTTTTATATAATTTTATATTGATTTGATGTGTTGATATTAAGAGTAATTATTTTAAAATAAAAAAATATTATTTTAAATTTTTTTAATTAAAAATACTTTGAAAAATAATTGTAAAATTTTCTTTAATGTTAAAAAGTTAATGTTATTAGATGTAAATATTAGCTAGCATATTGGTCCTCGCTTGCTTCGTTCCATAGTGAGTTAATAATATTTTTTTAAAATATAAAAAATATATTAAATATCTTGTTCAATGTTAGATTAAATGTTATTGGATTTAACAATCAAGCATTTTTTAACTGAAAAACAATGCTTTTATGACATTATTATATTGAATATAATACAAGCATTCTCCTTCAATATCTATAGTGTGATTAATAGTGTAATAAATCTATATTTATAGTATAAATATATTATTTTTTTACTTTTTTTTAAATACAGTATAATATAATATATGGAAGATAATATTCATTACAAGTTTTTAAATAATAATTTATTGAAAATACAATTATGATGAAAATTTTTACGTAGTTTTTTCGCTAACTTTATTCGTAGACATGTGACGATGTAAACTTACAGGGCAACAAAGGGAGCGCTATTCGTGCGCGCTATTCAATGGAAGTCGTTGTCATCCTATATAATTTGGAAGTTCAATAAATTTTACGAGTTTTCAAAAGGAGATCGTTTAAAGTCAAAAGGTTTTTTCTAAAAAAATAAATTGCAGCTACAGAGGTGTATCGAAGATTCATGTTTGATTTTGATCCAATATGTTATATATTATTATCTGTCATTTAAATTAATGGAACATTAAGGGTAGTTAAGGCTGCTTATTCTTTGACTTAATTTTTCAAATCCAAATTTTCAAGGGCAAAATTCTTTAATTAAAAAAGGATTTAATCTTAATTAACGTATAAATTGTTCTGAAAACACCTATAATTGAAAAAAAAAAAACAAATGGAAACTCACTTAAATCACAATACAGCGAGAATTTAATAGTAAGCATATACATTGTAACAAAAACATGAATACCAAACGTGACCTTGATTTTTACTTCGATTCTTCTTTCTGTCACAGCCACTCTTGACCCTTCTATGTAAATTAGCCAATTTACAAAAAGAGGTTCCTAGTTAGAGAGAAAGGCTCTTGGTTGGAGAGATGGAAGGGAGGAGATAAAGTGGCCATAAAATCGATTTTTGACGTGGATTAAGGCTATTGTCACCCCTATTTAATAGATCCTAGCCTTCCGAATTGATTAAAAGTGTTTCGGAGCTTCAAAGTGGTCGAAAGAAGTAGATATAAATAGCGACCTGTAATGAAAATTAGTTTGGTGATTTGTTATTTAAAAGAGGATGCGAGTCTTTGTCACCTCTATTTGCTTACTAAAAGCAAGCTTGCAAGATATCCTTGATTTCTTGCGATTTAAAGGTATTTTGTGCAGTGAGTGCCTTTTTTTTTTTACAATGTGTTTTTTAATAATTTTGACATGATAATATAAAATAAAAAACATTATTTTAATATATTTTTAATTAAAAACTATATTTTAAAAAATACTCTACATCATATAACATGCACACTTAACATTAGAAATCTATACTAGATTGGATTGGAGGGCTTGTTGTCATTGATAAAAGACTATTATAAATGATGGAGTGTTTAAAATTACAGTGTAGAGTACTTTTTAAAATAGCTTATTGTTTAAAAATATTTTTAAATATGTATTTATACAATCACATTAAAATTATTTAAAATTATTAAAATATTTTTCGATTCAATAATTCTTCAATTCAAAAATATTCTTGAAAAACACCAAAGAGCATAAGGAAAATGTGTCAAATATCTTTTAAGAAAATATTTGTTTTTATAATATAACTGTGTTTTTTAAAAAGAATTTGAATTTTTTTGTTTAAACTTATTTTTTTATATGCTAGTGACGTGTTTTTATGTATTAATATAAACAATAAATTTAAAAAAATAATAAAAGTTTATAATTTAAATATTTTTTCAATTTTATTTAAAAAAATAAATTCAGAATCCTAATAAAATAATGTTTGAAAAAACAGTGCAAAACATGTTTCTAAAAAATTAAATTTTTTATTTTTTAAAATTAATTTTTTTATCTATTTTATATTATATTAATGTATTGGTTTTAAAAATATTTTTTAAAAAATAATAAATTATTATATTAATATAAAAATTATTTTAAAACAACCCTACTAAACAACATGCTATAGATACAGCCAGCCAAGAGTCTATCAAGAAAAAAATCAATGATTACGCACGCCTAGACACCCACGTATACAGTATTCAATTAAAAACAACACCACTATTATCGCCGGTATTGGGTCCCACTATAACCAATCTTGGTCCAGAGTCCAGACTGTCTATGAAAACGACATCGTAACCCGACACGCAGTTAATTCGATCGTATAATTAGAAGAAACAATAAACGAAAGAAATTAATTGCGCTCTCTCATCCTCCAGGTTAAGAAATCGAAATCGAAATCGAAAGCGAAAGTCCCCTGTATCTTCTTCGTGTACTGAACATTTCTCATTTTCTTTATCGAAAAAATCTGACTTCACATTTTCATTAATAATAATAATAATAATAATATCAAATGATTGCATTTCCCTTCATTAACACGCTTTCATTCTCCCTGTTTTCTTTTCTTTTTAGGTTTTGATAGGCAATGGCGTTGAAGCGGGGATTATCAAGTTCGGTCGTGAACAAGAACCGAAGTGGTGGTGGATCTAGATTGCCGATTATACTCGTGATTTTCTTCTGCTTTTTGTCGCCGTTGATTTTCTTTGTCGGTCGAGGACTCATTATAACAAGCTCGTCTTCTGGTTAGCTTAACAGATCTTTATTTTCCTTTTTATTAATTTTTCAATTATTACGAAACATTATTTTTTTATATAGTTTTGTTGCTAAAAAAAAAAGCTTCAATTAATATGTTATTTTTAGTTAATTTAGTAGCATTATCGAGTTAGTTAGTCAATAGCTAGTGTGTTTAATTAACTTTCGCATTTACATCTTTTAAGTGATTAATGTTGCTATGCAGATCAAAACAATAATAATAATGCTGTTGGTTCTGGTAAGCAGGTATATTTTTCGAACGTTTGTCATCTTTTACTCGTTATTTTTAGATATGATCTGTGCATCTGAGCCAAGTTTGGGTAAAGCGAATAAATATTGGATTGGTTGGTGCAGCAATTGGATTGGAGAGAACGGCTGGCCTTGCAACATGTGAAGCCTCTTTTCTCAAAAGAGGCAAGTACAAATTGCTGATTTACTTGGAGATTTCGTGGTTTGTAATTCTTGTATGTGGTGATTGGTAGGTCTTCGGTTTACTTTTCGATCACATGATGTACTAATTAGAATAAACTTTGTTTTAGGTCATTGATGTTATCGCATCCAGCACAGCTGATTTGGGGCCTTTGAGTCTTGATTCTTTTAGGAAAAACAAGTTGCCTGCCTCGTGGAAAGTTATTGGTGGAGAGACTCCAGTCGACAATAAGGCTGCTTCTGAGGTTAGGATGACTGTCATGCTTTGGTTGAATCTTGTGCTTAATACTATGTCCTGTGCACCATTTTTCTGTGAGTTTTGTGCCAACTTTTGATTGCTGATTTTTTCTGAGCTTGGATTTTCATTAATTTTCTGAAGACAAACCAAACAGCTACGGTTGTCAAGCAGGAAGCATCTAAGGGAAAAGTTGACAACATTTCTGGTAATATAATTCTTGAACCAGATACTTTCATAAGGTTCTTGCTCAAGTGCTTATCTGATCTTCTTCTGTTTGTCTCCTGCAGATGATAATGCTCAATCCGGTGACACGCCTGCAAAACTAGCTCGAAGGGTAAGTATCTTTCTGGAATGCTTTGTCTGGTTGCTACGGCTCCTTTCCTAACTTGCCTTAAGATCCATAGCTATGAACTAGAGAAACATTGGAGTTATCAAATTATTGTTTAGCATAAATAGCTTTCTGAATTGTAACTTTGTTGCCTTGAGAGTTTATGCAGCAATTGAGGGAGAAAAGACGTGAAAAACGTGTTGCAGAGTTACTGCGGCAAGATGATGAAGCAACTGCAAGACTTGACAATGCAGCCATTGAACGCTCTAAATTAGTTGACGGCGCTGTTTTGGGAAAATACAGTATATGGAGGAAAGAAATGGATAATGAGAACTCTGATTCAACAGTACGCTTAATGCGGGATCAGATGATAATGGCAAGGGTGTATTTGAGCATTGCAAAGGTGAAAAACAAGCGTGACTTGCTACAGGAACTTCAGACTCGGCTCAAAGAGAGTCAGCGTGCCCTTGGAGAGTCATCGGCTGATTCTGATCTACATCCCAGGTAGAGCAGTATTGGTTGTCACTGTCCTTTACTGTGTGTTATAATCTATATCTTATTCTTCTTTTCATGTTGATGATTATGGCAATCTCTTAAAAAGGATATTATGTTGCGTGCTTGATTTATTTTTAGTGCACCTGGAAAGTTAAAAGCAATGGGCCAAGTTCTGTCAAAAGCAAGAGAGCAATTGTATGATTGCAAGTTGGTTACTGGAAAGCTCAGAGCAATGCTTCAAACAGCAGATGAACAAGTTAGGAGCTTAAAAAAACAGAGCACATTCCTGAGTCAACTGGCTGCCAAAACAGTTCCTAATGGAATCCATTGCTTGTCTATGCGCCTAACAATTGACTACTACCTCCTTCCTCTTGAGAAGAGAAAGTTTCCTAGAAGTGAGAATTTGGAAAATCCAAATCTTTACCATTACGCGCTCTTCTCTGACAATGTCTTGGCTGCATCAGTTGTTGTCAACTCAACCATCATGAATGCCAAGGTGCTGCAGACTTATTATTTTGTGATACCAATATTGTTAATTTCCCAAATTAAAAAAAAAAACAACAGAATCATTCCTCAAGCTGTTTTTCCTCTCAAGAATTTATTCCTAAACTATATTTTTGTCCAGGGATTTTTATAGTGCAAACTTGCCTTTCATTTTCTGGGACTTGGATGCAAGCTGCTTGTTTCTCTAATATGCTTCTTGGTTGCAATTGCAGGATTCTTCCAAACATGTCTTCCATCTTGTTACCGATAAGCTCAACTTCGGAGCGATGAATATGTGGTTTCTACTGAATCCTCCTGGAAAAGCTACTATCCATGTTGAAAATGTAGATGAATTCAAGTGGCTTAATTCCTCCTACTGCCCAGTTCTGCGTCAGCTTGAATCTGCTGCAATGAAAGAGTATTACTTCAAAGCAAATCATCCAACTTCTCTCTCATCTGGCTCTTCAAATCTGAAGTATCGGAACCCTAAGTATCTTTCAATGCTTAACCATTTGAGGTTCTATCTCCCAGAAGTCTATCCCAAGTTGGATAAGATCCTGTTTCTTGATGATGACATTGTTGTGCAGAAGGATTTAACTAAATTGTGGTCAGTGGATCTACATGGAAAAGTGAATGGTGCAGTGGAAACCTGTGGTGAAAGTTTTCACCGGTTTGATAAGTACCTTAACTTTTCAAATCCCCATATTGCCAGACACTTTGATCCAAATGCTTGTGGGTGGGCATATGGGATGAATATTTTTGATCTTAAGGTGTGGAAAAAGAAGGATATTACAGGAATATATCACAAGTGGCAAAACATGGTATGTTGTTGAAACCCCTGGTATATTTCATGCTTGGTTGTGCTCTTCCTACACGTGCCCTTTTTGTTTATAAATTCTTAAATTTAGGTGCCGTGGAGGAATTTTATCTATTTCAAATCTGCATTTCATATTAGGTGCTAATTAATTTTTTCTACTAGAAGTGGTCAAAAAAGATGTTTTTATCGTACTTTTTTATGCATTGAAGGCGTAGCATGTAGGTACAGTTTGTTTTGTTATTGTTTGAATGGACTAAAAGGTTAACTTTCTTTGTTTTAGATATTCAAGATGTGAGTGCAGTGTGATTTAATATTCTGATTTTTCTTTTTTGATTTTGTTGAATTTCAGAATGAAGACAGGGTACTGTGGAAGCTTGGGACATTGCCTCCAGGGCTGATTACATTTTATAATCTGACACATCCTCTTCAGAAATCATGGCATGTGCCTGGATTGGGGTATAATCCAAGCATTGATAGGTCAGAAATTGAAAGTGCAGCTGTTGTCCACTATAACGGTAACATGAAGCCATGGCTGGAGTTAGCAATGACTAAATATCGACAATATTGGACCAGATACATCAAGTATGATCATCCATACCTTCGAAATTGCAACCTAAGCGAGTGAACTTTTAAAAGGCTATTAAGGTACGGCCAATCTCTCTCTCTCTCTCTCTCTCTCTCTCTCTGGAGTTAAGGAATAGTTCATTGATTTAGATCAAGAGAAGGAATGTGGTTGAATTTTCTTTGCTGCATTTCCTTCTATCCCGATTGGTTATTGTTTCCTTGTAATTCATTAAATTGTTTCCACCATCCCTCATATGGAACTAGGTAAAGCTCTGTGCTATTGACCTGTAAAGTAAACCCCAACAAGGCAGTTCTTCCCTGTATCTTTCTGTCTCTGTTTCGTCGCAGCTTAGTTTAGTTTAGACAAGAATAGTTACCCTTCATATAAATGTGAATCATCTGTATTCTGTTAACAGTGGCTAATTGATGTGGTGGTTTTCCCTTGCAATAACTTTTGAATTTAGTGCTGACTGGTCGTATATAAGCTGACTGCTTTGAAGTGATACAGTTTCTTCTTGACATTCTTTCGAGTCAGTGACTGGAAAGACATGACTACATATCTTTCTGGCACAAGAGCATGACTGAAAATCAGGTGTTGTAAAATCCTCTTGTTTTTTTTTTTTTTTTTAAAGCTCAATGTCAAGTTGTATGCACAAGTTCTCGGAGCTCGTGTGGGTGTTTTCCTGACCATGGTATTGAGATACAAGACAATGATGTGAAGGCGTATTAAGGAACATTCACAGTACATGCATGGTAAGTATCAACAGTACATGCATGGTAAGTATCAAGAAAACTATCTCTTACACGGTGACGAAGGCCACAAGATGGGGCATTTCAGGCTAGCATGATGACTCGTGATATTTTACTTCTGCTTTCTACTAAAATGTGAGGATATGATATATTTCCCCGTTCTTTGAGGGAGAAGCAGAAATGACGGAGATCGAAGAAAATGAAATGAAAACTGTATCTAATGCAATAATGCAGTGAGCCAGTCCAACAATCCAAACTACGTAACCTCCCACAGATGGGGGTGGTTGTGGGCTGGGTCTGGTTTTGTCCTCTCCTTTCCACATTCCTCTTGGTATGGTTATAAAATCTAACCCGATGGTTGATTTGGGGAAGACCCGAGAGTCAAAAACCTAGTTATTTTTAAAAACCCTCAAAGCCAGCAATTGCCAAGGCCTAGCCCAAAATGACTACAATCCCTGCTCTTTAAAGCTCAAAATTTCCTAGATAAAAGGAAGAACACAAAAAAATGAAAAAAATAAAAATCATGAAGAGGAATGAAATCAAACCCTAAACATGCCAAAACCCCTCTTTAATGCTCGCAATTACCTATGCCTTGCCACAACATTCATTGTCCCTGCTTCCTTCTCCACTATAACCGTTCCTAAACTAACCACTACATTGTTCACGAAAAGAAGAAACAATGTCATCATCATAATATAATTCAAAAGAAAGGAAGAAAAAAGAAAAACTCTAAAATTAGAGATGGAAAAGAATAGAGAAGAGAAGAAAACATGTATGAGATGTTCAGATTCGCGGAAGAGAAGGCCGAGACTGGTAAGGGAGCAGAGGAGGAGGACGAGGACGAGGACATCGTACATAAAAAAAATAAGAGGCTAGAATTCCTATAATCAAAGTGGTAGCGCGCTAATGTTACACTCAAACGAATCCTATCAATGCCTTCCATTTCTTTGTTGCGACTGCCATCTCGATCTATCATCATCTTATTCTTCTTCGTTTTTAATCTTTCATTTCTTTGCTCTTGTTGTTTTTGGATATCCATTGTAGAACAGCGAGCTAGAGAGATAGGCAGTAAAAGAATGTATTAGTGAGGTGGTTAAAGAAAAAGAAAACTCAGGATTGAGAAGTAAGGAAGGAAAGATAACAAGGAGACTGAATGGAATGAACTAAATTAATATTAACAAGTTTTACTGATGGGTTGATCGAGTTGTAGGTAGACTTGATTTTTTAAACTAATCATTTTTTTATTTGATTTTTTTTTTCGAGATAGGTCTAGGATCCGGATTAAACTGGTCCAAGTCAACTTGCTGGCAGTAAGAATGTTCTCTGGACAATATTGGAATATGATGGTGTGTTGTGCAACTTGGTTCCTGTATCGGAACTTTGTGTTTTTAGCGTGTTTGGACAATGTGGTGGGATTTTCGTTATAGCATCAAACAAATACTAGTTTTTATATCATTATTAGAATAATTATGTAATAGAAATTGTCATGTTTAATAACGGACCTTTTAAAAGGAAAAATTTACAGAAAAAAAAATTTGTGATATTTAATTAGTCGGGCTAGCATGGGTTTAAGGGCAGGCACAGTCCATTTTTGTAAAAGCTGGGTTTTCTCGGACGGGTCAGGCTGAATAGCCAATCTCTACTCACAAATCCTGACGCTAACGAAAAAGGTAAAACAGGAAGTCCAGTACTCGTTCTACTCTTGTTTTTGGTTCCTTCCACGAAATGAAATAATTTTTTTTTTCCAGGTTGTGAGTATCTAATCAGTTGTCAAAGTCATGGAGTTTTGTATGGCAGCACGACTAAAAGATATGAGCGATTTGGTGACAGAAAAGTGAGCAGAGCATTATTATGTGACTTAGTCATATAAAGAAAGTTAATTTTTACCAGAAGTCATGGTAACTTAAGTAGTGGAAGAGGAAAAAAAATAAAATCATGGTCATCTCCAGACCTTATGGTTCAGAAAACAGAACCCATGAGAACGAACGGGTGTTGTCCCAGAGGATTTCAGAAAGAAAGGAGAGGTGTCAAGAATCAGAGATCAACTTGTAGTTGAAGCCCAAAATAAATAAATGTCTTAATTATCGTTAAACTAAGTAGTTAATAAATATATTTATGTTAAACGCATCAAATTCAGACTGGTTTAACTGTCATATTCTAATTCCCTTATCTCGCAAACACCCTTTTTAGTCCACTTCCATTACTCCTGCCTTTTCTCCCTTATATTCCAAATTCAATCAAAGCTGGCATCTTTTCTGCTCCCCATTATCTCAATAACGACTCAAATCCCCCACTAAATCTCCATTAGAAAATTAAGCAACCTGTGCGTACGGAAAAGGGTGATGTTTTTGGATAATTTATTATGTGAATATATAATGAGTTTGTACTGAGAATGCTTCTTGTCTAAAACATATCGTAGAAAGTTCATGTTCATAGGGTCCTGTTGATACAAGATGGCCTTGTTTTGCAGAATCATGTGCTTCAGCCTTCCATTAGCGAGTATCTGTCTGGCAAACCATCATCTTTATTTGTTTTGCAGGCATCCTTTCTGGTCAATCCTTTATAAAAAGATCTGGAAGTTTGTTGGACCTGGAAGATCTTTTGTAGATTCATAATTTGATAGATTATTGTTTTCGCTACTGATGCTTTACTACTTGAGGACAGCACCATTATTCTTCTCCACAATCTTGTTGGTCCTAAAGCGCATTTGTGCAATTTGCTGGACGTTTTATCACGACTGTTCGACAACTAACTAGTGGCCTTTGGTAGCTAACGTGTGCATGTTAGGAAAATATCTTTGAGCTTGCTCGTATCGCTTGGTGATCGTTGGATCATGATGATTGTGGACTTTTGGTGAATATATTGATATGTAAATCATGAGATTTTTTAGGTCATGGCAAAAACAAGCGAGTCAAATATTATGGTCTCTGATGAGGCTGGTGTAGACGAGTACCGGGGTCGGTGTATTTGATATTCGATTGAAACTATTAGCCTAAGTTACCTTTCTTACTTTTGACAAAAAAAAAAACATTGATGATGATAGTAATATATTGGATTGATATGCATTTAATTCAGATTAATATATAAAATATATAATGTAAATATTATAAAAAAATAAAAATATATATTAAAATTTATGAAATCTTAATTATTTCATTGTTGGAAAATAAAATTTAAAAAAAATAAAAAAAATATAAGTCAGTTTGCTAAACCTGAATCACGAGACAGTGAAAAACTAATAAAAAAATTAAAATAAATTATGAAACTTAACCTGAATTAATTTAACATTGAATGATGAAATTTAAAATAAAATTAATTAAAAAAACCTTGAATGATGAAATTAAAAATAAAATTAATTAAAAAAACTCAAGTTAAGCTACTTTAATTCGTCAAATCCTTAACTCAGATCATGAGATTGAGATAACCTCGTAGAGAAAAAATCCAAAAACAATTATGAAATTTAATCTTTAATCAACTCAAATAATGAATGATAAAATTAAAAAAATAAATAAATAAAATTTAAGTGAATTATGTTAACCTGCAAAGCTTGTAACTTGAGTTATCCAAATCATAAAATTTAATTTTTAATGATTTAATTTTTTAATTAAAAATATATTTTTTCAATAAATAATATTTTATAACCAGAAAATAGAAATTTCCCCTTCAAATTGTTAACTAATTACTAGGCATAAAGCAATAAAGCTTTTAGTAGCTAAAAATAAAAATAAAAGATGCGAATTTGCTGCTGCTCTCCTGTGTTGGTTTGCGCTCTCCTGTGTTGGTTTGCCCGGGCATCATGTGTTGCCAAGGCTGCCATGAAAATAAAAAAGTTTTTTAAAATATTATTGTAGTTATTTTTTAAAGTATTTTTTATGTTAAAATATATTAAAATAATATTTTTTTATTTTTTAAAAATTATTTTTAAGATTAATATATCAAAATTATTCAAAACATATAAAAAAATTAATTTTTAAAAAACTTAATTTATACCGCGATCCAAAATATTCTTTTAATATCAATTGCTTCATGTTTTAGGGCACGATGCTTCTCTTCTTTTTTTCTGTGTTTTTTATATTACTATTGATTAAAGCTATCACAAATCCAGGACTTACGATTTGTTTTGAATTTTAAGAATTTAAACAAGCTCATCAATGATTTAATTGTAAAAATTCAAAAAAACTTTAGCTCTAGTATTAATTATTAATGATGGACAAAAAATATTTATAAAGAAGAAAAAGCTGGAAAAAAAGAGAGAAAGAGAGTTGAACTCCAAATTTTATTCAATTCATAAGAAATAATCATTATTTAAAGAATTACACATAAATCACAAAAAACTTCAATCGTAATAAAATTTGAACATAAAATCAACCAACTAATAAAAATCCAACAAAGAATAAAAATTAAATCCCAACTATAAAACTAAATAAAATTCAATATAATGGCTTGGTCTCCTGATTAATTAAAATGTTCCGAGCTGTGCCGTATCTAGAGTCTAGCTTCCCCCACCATATTCTCTACAAAGGAACCATGATAGGATGAGGTACCTATTTTCTGCCTCCTTTGACTTTATCTATATGGCTTACAAGAAAAAGAAAAAAGAAAAAAAAGGGAACCATGATAGGATTGCTTCAATAGCATTTAAACTATAGTTAATAGACTACAGATGCGACAAATTCTTGCTGATTTTAAATTATTGGATCCCACAATATGATATGATTCAGGCCGGTAAAAACTGTCACATTTGTTTTTAATAAAAATAAGACAGGTGATTTGAGATATTCTAAATTCAAATCTCGAAAAAAGATGGGATATAATTTTAAAAAAAATGAAGATAAGCTGTTCCATGGTATGGTTAAGAATAAATTACTTCCTCTAGTTTTGCAAAATAAATTAAATAATTTGTTTAATTTTAAAAACTAATTAATTAGACCCTTTCGTCCATTTCATGAATTTTTTTAAATTGATTTTATTAAATAAAAAGATGAAAAACAAGTAAGTAGTATGGAAAGGTCGATGAGAAAAAAAATTTCAAACAAAATAATATTAAATTAAGTATGATAAAAAACTGTTCAATGAACTAATTAATTAGTTTTTAAAACTAAAGAAACTATATAGTTGAATTTGCAAAACTAGAAAGACTAATTTATAATTTATCATATAGTTCAATTAAGACCTATGACCTCAAAAAGTGACATGTAGTGAAGACACCCGACATAGCATTTGTTTTATACTAAGGTCAAGCAAGGTAGGCACCCCCATAAGCTTATATCATGAGGTGATCATGTGTATACCTAAATTTAAGAATCCTAGATGACAAAATTTAAGCCTTGTTTAGTCATGCAATTTCAGTATATTAGAATTTATTTTAAAAAAAATTCTAATATTGTAAAAACATCAAAATAATATTTTTCAAGTTTTCGTTGGATATAAAAATATTAAAATCAAATGGAAAACATTAAATTATATATTTTCAATTAAAAAACTTTTTTTTTTAATAAAAACTACTTGTACCACCATACCGAATGGGAAAAACTAAAGTAGCCCTTGAACATGCTGAATCACATGGGGGAGCAATTCGATCAACTATCCATAGAAACACCCTAACATATACATGTTAGGTATACAGCTCTTCTCCACTTTAGTGTTAGTGCAAGCGTCAGTGCAGTACTAGTTTTGTTTCGACTCGTCTAATTAATAAATATTTCAACTCACAGTTGGCATCTTTAAGCTTGCAAATGAAGAGTAAATTAGAGCCCATACTTTGTCTTTGAAACTCTTAATTATTTGGCCAAGTGTTTTTGTGTGTGTGTGTGTTCTCCATGGAGTGAAGAATAGCTGGCTAGGTTCCACGCACACACCAGTTGCTTACTTTACCAAAACCATGTTAATTTTGCTGATCTCCCTGTTAAGTCATGCTTATTCTAAACAATCATGAGATAAAGGAAAATTGCAAGGATGATGGATAGGCCAAAAGAACAGCTTTCATATACAACTGGAACTTTATTATTACTACGTTTTTATCATTTTTTTAATATTTGAAGCCCTCAAACTTGCATGTGCTAGCTAGCTTTACCCGACTTCCTTTCCTTCCTTTTCTACTGAAACCCATTATAAATGGATGAAAGTAAACTTGAGTAACGAGAATTTTCGTACGATTTGCTAGGTTCTTTTGTCGTAAGCATGAAGAAAAGACATTGCATGTAGCACGTCCTGCAAAAAGGAAAAGAGAAAAGTTTATAGACTTTTAGTTAAGCTGACAGAGACTCGTCAGCTAATTAAGATTCACGGACTGCTTGCTTGCTCGTTCGGACTTTATCTGGGTCATGTTTTATATTCATGATCATGAGAGAATGAAAGTAATTTTTGCCACACACTCGCATATATATTATCCTGCTAGTACTGGTATCTAGTTTCTATTGGTCCATGGAAGATCCAATGTCTCATGAGTTACTTAATAGAGAGTAGCAAGAATTTGAGCCTGTGAGCCGGAAAACCGAATTCTAGCCCCTGGGATGTTACTTTGATGAGAACATCGGCAGCCGGACAGTTAATTCCGATAAAATATGCAGATGGAGCCTCAATGCTTGCATTTATTTTTCATAGGAACATACAGAATGTTTTAAAAACAGGAATTTAAAGCATTGTTTTTTTATTGGTTACAAATTCCATTACTGGGATTATGATTCAGGGCATCGAATTAGAACGCTTTCCACCATGTATCTTGTAATCAATTAATACATTATTTCAGATTTTGTACCACCTGCGACAAGTTTTCGTCTGGGAATCTAATTAATGAGTATTGTTACGTGCCAAGTAGAAAGATAAATAGCCGAGGCAACCAGAATTTGGTGGCGGCCAAACACATAAGTACATAGAATCTATACATGTCTTGTATTAATAAAATTAAAATAACAATAAAAAACAATAAGAAGACATGCATGGAGCCCATTCAAATCTTTATTCCTACAATTTGCTTATTACTTGCATTGATGTGATTCTCTCCAACACTAACACACTAGCAGCTACTTACAGGGCTGGCCTGTTTTTTGGTTCTTCTGCTGACTTTTCCTCTAAATACACACCATGAAGAACCAAGTCCCTCCTTCTTTGCACCTAGCATTGTACACTGTTATAATGTCACTTTCCTCAGCCTAATTAACAGGAAGAAGCATTTTTGGTACCCCCGCAGTTGTTTTTTTGTTGAAGCCAGGTTGTGAAGACATCTAGGGTTTTCATGTCAGCCCTGTAATGTTTTTGTGTGAATTCTGACAAAGCTGGCCATGTGAAGTCCGGATATACCCTTGGATTTTTATAGTCGACCAAAGTATTTGGTGGCTTCACCACCTTGTCCATTTTTGGACATAGAAAGAAAGCAAGGGATTTCCTTACTGTTACGTTATTTACCACTGCTCTATGCAAGCAACTCTTGAAAATGCCATTTGATAGAGCCTGAAACAACAACACAAGTTTTATTGGTTCTTGGTCAAATTATTAATATAGTAATTAATGCCTTGTTTAGACATGTGCTATTTTTGGAACAACCTCGGAATGGTAAAAATGGACTTTCTTTGTGGGATGGAGGAAGTAATGATTGATTAAAGAGTTCCGATTAGCGTAGTTGTTTGTTGATGGTCTTACCATGAATGTGTCACCAATGTTAACGACGAAAGCTTCCGGATCAGGAGTAACGGAGTGCCATTTTTCGTCGACGAACACTTGAAGGCCACTGACATGATCTTGATGAAGAATTGTTAAAGATGTAGGATCACAGTGAGGCCCAGTGCCAAGAGTTAATTCCGGTTTTTGGCAAGGAGGGTAGTAATTTAGTCTCATTATTGAATCATTTCCTTCGAAGAAATCTCTAAAATATTCTCTTCCAACTCCTAGACTTACTCCTAATAGCTCCATAATTCCAAGGGAAAGAGTGTTCATGGCTTCACAATATTCTTGGTACACCTTCCTATATATTCAAAACAAAATCACAAATTATTGCATAGTGTCTTCACTAGCTAATATTCTACATAGACGACAGCATTGCGTAATATTTTAATGTTTTGAATGAAATTAATTATCGTTTCTTACCCGAACTGTTTGAATTCTTCTCCCATTACATTCAAGAAGTATTCTTGGACGATGTTAGAGGACTGATTGTCAGCACAATATCTGAAAGAAAGTGTTTCTTTCCATGGAAGCTTGGAGGAGAATCTTCCAGTGAAGCTACTGGCATACCCATATTGCTCTCCTATCTTCCTTTGAGCTGGCTTCTCCGAGAGCTGCTTACCAAAGAACATGTTCATACCCTCATGAGCTTTAGCTATAAGCTTTGAGTCAACACCATGATTAACAATTACAAAGAAACCATGCTTCTTGCATGCCTCATTTACTTGCTGGGCAAGTTTTGAGACCGCCAAAGGATCTCCAGCGAGGAAGCTTCCGAAATCAATAGGAGGGATTGAAAGTTCTGGGGGTTCAAGGCATGGTTTTTCGTGGTCAGGCCAAATGAACTGGGAGGGTAAGTTGGCTCGGTGCTGAAGGATTGAAGCATCAAATACTAATGGCTCTGGAGGAGGAGGCATAATTGTCATGTTTGAAGGGAAACAATCAACGGGCATACAATGTTATATGTATTTCAATTTCTAGAATTGGATCGAGAAAATATTATAGGAACTAGAAGGACTGTTATCTACTTTAGACGTTGATGAGAGAAATTGAGAGGAGAAAATGGAACTATGAGAGGGGAGTGAGGAGGTATGTAGAATTTAATAGGCAGCTAGGAGGCAGAGGAGTGAAAATCCAGGACCGTTCCTTGGGAAAGTAAGTGAACAATGCTGGAATCTTATTGTTTTTAACTGTTGCGTCATTCCTCTTTAGACAGTGTGTATGCTCTAGCCTTCCAAGCTAGTCTAATGTTTTGTCCGCATGGTTATTAATTATTATTTACTGATCTCTGATACTATATAAAAGGATTCTATAGTTTTCGAAACAGATCTGACTTATATATTTCTCCAAATTACATCTCAATCCTGTGATATTAATTAGACCTTAATTCTTGACAATAACATCCAGCCGCAGCAGCTCTGTTTAAACAGCAACTGATTACGGCCACTGACCCCTACTTAATCCTTGTAAAAAGCAATGCATGCCTTAGCTTTTCTTTTAATTTTTCAAAAACACCCTGGAACAGCTCATGTTTGAGAAAAAATTGACTAAAAGATATAGCAAAATAGTATATAATATAGTCTATATATAGATATTGAGTAGGATTTAAAAGGAAAAAAATATATAAATTAAGGGTGAGAACCTATGAGAAAGAAAGGTTCTCTACCATGGATGCCAACTCCCACTAAACTAGATTCTGGTTTAGATTTATGTGACTTTGTGTAATGGCCCTACGTGCTTACACTCCATTAATTTAGCTATATGTTTATTTTCTGGTTACATGCATGTGCTGTCTGTGTATATGATTATTTCACGAACAAATTAATATATGTATGGCTATAGAGTAGACAACATGTATAAATATTTTATTGCCTGGTCTCCCGGAAGATTCGAAGATCGATGAGCCTGGGGGGTATGTTTCTTGAATAGGATACACTATTAAAAAATTATTAAATACAAAAAGAAATGCTGGTAGAAAAAATATCATTAGAAAGTTACAGTGATTATTATTGATGAAATATAATACCATTGTTTGAATCGGTACTTACCAAAAAAAATTATTGATGAATATCAAGAAAACTACTAGTGAAAATAAAAAAAAATAAAAAACTAGGCAATTATTTCTTTGTTATTTTCATAAGAAAATATGATGTTTTAATATTATAGATAAAATTACTGATAAAATATAATTGTTGTTAACACTTATAAGTGAATCTATCAGTAATATTTAAGTTATAATTTGCTAAATTTCCTCTCCCCTACCTCATTTCTTCTTCTTCTTCTTTTTCAGCAGAAAATAACATCCTTCCCCCCTATTTTATCACAAATTAAATTCTCATCAGCATAAATTTGACCACCTTAACACTCAATTTATTATTATCCATGTTCTGATTCTTTTTTTTTTTTTTTTAGATTTATCGTATCATATAAGCAAACTTACCAAATTTTTTAAACCAATTTTTATGCTAATTTTTTTCATATTTTTATGTAGTATATATAATTTATTTATGTAATTACTTGTTTTATAGTTTTTCTCTATAGAAATATTTTATATGAATGTATGATTTGTACATGTTAAGGTTTGTTTGATATATTAAAAAATTATATTTGTTTGTCATCTGAAGAAATTGAGTTTGATTTTTTAAATTAGGTGTTTCATAATAAAATAAATGATGGGTTATTTAATGAGTAAGTTTCATATTTATTAATTTTATTGTTCAGTTGAAAATTTAGGTAAATTCTGAGGCATTGAAATTTTCTTAAATAAAAATGATAATCATTAAAGGGTACTAGTAAAATAGATTGAATAATTTCATGCTATTGTAAGCCTGACACGACTAAAAGGTTGATGTCTTCTCCCAAGTGTAGGAGTGTCGAAGTAATAAATAACCCGGCAAGACCGGGGTCGAACCACAGGGAGGTTAATTGTACAAATTATAAACAACAATTATAAAACAACAATAACAACAACAACAATAGTAATAATAATAATAATAATAATAATAATAATAATAATAATAATAAAGAAAGAGAAGAAGAAGAAGATGATGATGATGAGAACTTGGAGATCAAATATTAATGTAAGGATTAAGCAATAATAATAACAAATGTCAAGGTTAGAGGTTCTACTAATGGTATATCAAACAAGTATAGTATAAACTTTTATTATTGAATTGGAAACCACACACAAAGGAGGTTCCAATCAGATTATATATTGTTAACATGATTACATTAGTCATCTTATTCGATTAATGCTAGTACTTGTAAATCTCGTCAAGCATTCATGATTATAACTTATGTTAACAACAAATGAAGTTCCTTTCATAGCTCAGGTGTCGGTTATACCATACATTATGGGCTATGAAAGTGCCAAGCATTTGTTGTACCAAGTGTTATACAACATAAATCAAGATTAGTTATTTAACAAGCAAAGTATTAAAGAGTGAACAAGATAATAAATATAAAACATGTTAGTATCAAACATTAAGGTCCATATTAAGTTTACATTATACTTATTCTTACACCATTAGTGTAACCTTTTCACCTTGACATAATTAACTTAGCTAGACATAATGAAAGAAAAGAAAATAAATAAACAAAATAAGAACATAAATAAGATAAGAGTTAACTAAGTAAAGGAAAGGAAATGAAAGGCATAAACTTAATATTAATGAAAGCAAAGCATAAACATTACAAAAAATACAAAGAGAGAAAGGAAGAGCATGATCTTGATCTGGACACCAAGATGCCTAAATGCATGGGAAATGCCTCCTTTTATAGGCCAAAATTGGGAACTATTGATTTGATGACTAATTGATAAGTGGGTGGCCAACTTTTGACTTGGTGACAATCCTTATCTTCTCTTGTCTACCTAAAACGTCATTGATAACGTCCAAATTGGAGCCAGTTGTAAACATGAAATTTGTGGGCAATTGTCTCAGCTTTCTTGTGTAAAACATTCAGCTCATTTGGACTTCTAGAACTCCAGATATGGCCAAAATACCGAACAGTGCTCGGGCTGGAAGACAGATTCGGGCTTCTTTGTTGTTGCTACAATTTGGGCTTGATAATGGCCTTTTTAGATCTTGGGCTCCATATGAAAGTTGTAGGCCTATGTCTTACCTTTCCATCCATATAAATTGGACCTAAATCTGAGATATATAGCTCCAGATATGACCCATTTACCGAATAGTGTTCCGGTTTGGATTGCACCGACATCTCTTTTCTAAGTTTGGCCATCTCTTTATCCTTGCAATTTAAGTTCTTCAAGTCATCAATCAATATTTTCATTTATGTGATAGGCCTGCATTAAAAATATACATTTACCACAAATTAACGGTATCTTATATTATTAGATACATTCTTATAAAACATATTTTAGTTAAGGAGTTATTGATACTTCAAGTGCAAAATGATGATATAAAACCATGATAAAAATGCACTTTTAAGTACTAATCAAAGCCTCACTTGAGAATAAAAATTAATTACTTTCCAAAACATGAGGACAATGGAGAAGTGCTCTTGAGTGAGAGTTTGTCAATAGTTTTTCATATTAAATGAATTTTATAAGAAAATATAGTGAGGGGAAGATATATGACATAAATCGAATTCATACATACATATAATTATGTGTTATTTAACTATGATAAATTTAGATATTTTATTCAGTAAATATTAATATGTTATTATTTTAATCAATTTTTCTACTATACTTTCATAAACTAATAGATTGAATAATTTCTTATAGACAATATCGTTAATTTCTGTAATCTCCAAATCCATATATGACCAAATCTTAAAATTTTCAATTATAAAATGAATAATTTACCATGTAGTTTAGAATATATGTAAGCAATAATTAATAATTCTTAACTATAAAAATGCTTAATTTCATTACACTTTTCTCTTTAACTATTAATGGTTGTAATCATATACCAAGTTTATCAAATAGAAAAGAGGGCTAATGATAGTTTGAATTTACTATATTTGGGTTCTGAAAAAAAAAATCAAGTGTTATAATAAGTATTTTGTCAATAAATATGTTTTTTATACTAAAGAGTATGGTCAGGTTAGAAAAACTTATAATAATGGAGTTTTTGTTAAATGATTAACTTATAATGAGTTTGAAGTTAATTATTATGAAAAGTTAAAAGATGTGATTTAGTTACAATATCGTAGTGAGTATAATAAAGACTTTTTAATAAAATGCTATTGATATGATATCATTGATAAAAGAATCAAAAGAAATCCCCACCATGATTTGGTCAAAATTAATACAGAGACTAAACATTATAACATTGATGATGCTTTTGTTTTTGCCAAGCAATGCATACAAGTTTATTACACATATATTCCTTCCTTTATAAATAATCGTGTCAGGGTTGATTGATTATTTGATTATTCATAGTGAAAACCAATTTCAGGGATAATGTCCAAGTTGTTTATAATGGTAATGATAATGATAACAATAAAGTAAATATAAGAGATGGTGTCTTTCAACTTGATAAGTTAATTGTTGCATATCGAGTTGTCTTGTCTACCAACTTAAAAGAAAATTTAAATTTTCATGTAATAGATAATATTTTTATTGATGTTGACGCCAATGAGTTAAATGATATATTAAAAATCTATAGACATACAAAAGTCAATAAAGATGATAATATTGATGAGTTTCAATTCAATAAAGAAGATTATAATGAACATGATGATAATGATGAAATTAAACAAGAAGAAAAAGAAGAAGACAATTCTGGTTAAAAGGATTTTAAACTGATTTTAAATGTAAAACATCAATGTGTAATAAAATTGACTTTAATGTAATCTTTCTTGTTAATATTGCTTTACAATGAACTATTGTTAACATAATTGGAATATTTATTGTTGTGATTTTAATATTATGCTTAACATAAATAGTATTACTGTGTTGTAAATTTAATTTATTCATAGTTGTATAGATATGAGATCGAGTCAACAATTTTCAATTATTTAAGTGATTATATCAAAACAAGTTTAAGTTTAAATAACCCGATTTAATGCTGAAATAACCCAACTTAAGTTTGAGATGACCTAACTTAGGTTTGAGATAGCTAACT